TGCTTAAGTCAGCTCTGCCTTTAGCAATATCTACTGCACCATATTTCAGGAACCGATGTAGGCTTTTACAGTGGAAAACAGTTTTGTCATGTCAGATAGCAATGTTAACTCTTGGTTACATTAATTAACCTATGTGTGCTAGGAAAGTGATGTGTTTTTATAAGCAATTAACAATAATTTCTTAATGTAGTGGTAAAAGCTATGACATTAATGTATGTTTTACAGTTACCATTTCTCTACTTTTCCTGATTGTAAAATGTGGTTTAGTTTAGTAATCGACCTGGATCTTATAGTGCAACTAGAAAGCAATAAATAGCAGCATCTCTGATGTACTTTAAAATGTTTTCTCCTGAATTTCCTAATATTTACTCTTTAAATGGTTACTCCAACATATTGACTTATATTTTTAAGACCCTAGTCTACCTATGAACTTGGTGTAAGCTATGAAATTTCTGTTAGTAATTGAATTCAACTCAATTTTTAGGAAGCATATCCATTGCTCATATGAGATAAACTCAGAGACCTGTGAAAATTCATGCAAGATATAAAGAATGTAGAAGCGTAATTCCCTCTGCGAAAGAAGATTCAAACAAAGTCTTTGCACACCATACGTGAACTGGATGGGAAAATAAATATAAAACTCATTATTAAAATAAAGACCATATTAAGTAAAGAAAGTGCAAAAATAAATGTCAAATGTGTTTTAAAAAGAACAGTAGAGGGACCAGAAAGGAGCGTAGTGATTAGGCACTGGACAGACACCAACATGACAGATTGTGATTTCAGTCCTAGATCCGAAAGCTTGAAACTCAGACCAGGTGTTTTTGCATGCATGCCCAAAATCTTGAGAGGAGAAAAAAGGAAACGAGATTGTAGCATGGCCACCACCCACCCCCTTGGGCATGATTTCTCACTTTCTTTCTCTCTAGTAATGATGCACATCCTATAGCAAAAATCTCTCTCTGTAAAATAAATAAATAAATAAATAAAGTTGATACGTTTTCATGACAAAATTTGAAGTATTATGGACATTCATATATATCAAAATGGTTTCAAGTCTATAGTAATTTGAAATCTAGCATATTTTATGTGGTGGTTTTGATTTATCCATGCACTGAAGAAGTATTAATAGTATACTGACCTTCCAGTGAAATGATCAATTATTCCTTCTGGACTCAGGGCCGATGGTGCTTTTTCCATTAGATTTAACAGTAAATAAGAAATAGAGAAATGCGGAAGAGAACCAATGTGGTTGTTCTTCAAGTGACTGTCTACTAGTAGAATATGTTTAGTAAAACTAAGCACTACTCAGTTTAAATATTTAATTTTTAAAAATTATGCTGCTAGTGTGTGAATTTTGAAAAAACTTGTACTTTAAATGTGTATGTCGAAAATTATTGTGTAACTAAACTAAGACATCATGGAAGTGTTTTATGTTATAGACATATAAATGGATTTTTTTTCATATTCAAAATATCAAGACATTTCCTGATTAGAACATTCATTTACTCGATGCCACTTAACATCCAATATTATGTTATTACTAAGATCTGTGTATTCCATAGGTATTGCCTAATCAATGGATGTTTTTACTACTGTTGAAAACAATAGATTGAAAGATATTTAAAGTAGAGTATAATTTCTCCTAAAACATCTAGATTAATATTGGATTGTCAGGAAAGTCATGACACATTTTGCATAGAAAAACAGAAAAATATTTAATGACTTCCCTAATGATCTAATATCTCTGTGAAAATTAATCTTTCTATTGTATTTACAAGACAACTTTCAAAACTTTCTTAGCATTCCTGATTTGCTATTATCTTTGCCTCTGAGTGTGTTAATTCATCATTCTTTTTCTGTCAGCTGTCTGCACTGTTAGTTGAAGATTTTCAAAATGCCTGAAGGATGCACTGTCAGCTGCAGATACTTGAGTCAACATGGTAATATCAGTTGATTTTATCCTAGACAATACTCATACACACACTTGCACAGGGTACTCCTGGTGGAGGCACTTGGCACATCTCAAAATATAACCTTTGTTATTTCATTAAGTGCCTGAAGAGACACTGAATTTCTCAATATTCTTGCCCCTTAATTTTTTTTTTTAATTCTAAAACTTTTGGAAACAGGTATTTTCTAAGAGTCACAATGAAAAACTTAATTTTCACAACACTTAGATTTAAAAAATGATCTCCAATTTCATTATGGTATAAAAAGAAGAATGGTTGGTAAATGGAATGAGGCAAAGATTATTATGCCTAAAGAAATTAAAAATCAGGGCCAGCATGTGGCGTGGTGGTGATGACACTAGACATTCCCACATGGCTGACCACGGTTCAAGTCCCAGACATGGTGGCTTGCTTTTTAATTTTCCCTGTGTTTGTGTGTGTGTGTGTGTGTGTGTATGTGTGTGTCTCACTGGTCAAATTAAAATAAGTAAATGAATAAATAAAATTGAATAAGTAATTCTTAAAAAAAGAAAAAAAAGGAACTCAAGATCCAAAGTCAAGCTTAACTCTATTGATACCTGCCCTCCCATACTCCCAAATGATTTGGTCAGTTAAGTGGAATCTTTTATAGTCTTTTAAAAAATGTATTTATTTTTACATTTTTCCACAAAAATTTACTTTACGTATCAAAAAAATTTTGCTCAGACTCCATAGTTCTTGACACTTAATAAATTTCAGAATTTCAAAATACTAAATTTTAAAGAAATGGTCAAAATTCTATAAAACAGTAAATCAACAGTCAGTATGAAACATGTATGATAATTATAATCTGGTTTGATTCTATACTTCTACAGATAAAAGGTCTATACTCACTAAAGTACATAAAATTCATTGATCAGACCCATGCTTGTCTTGATTTTCTACATTTAAAGGTTTAAATTTTCTATCTAATGTATTTGAGAACTTGGTAGACTCAGTATTCAAAAAATTATGCAGAAGAGGGTCTGAGGAAGGACAGTTGGGGGAGAGACAGGGAGGCAAAGCAGTGATGGCGCAAAGAGGTGTGGTATTATCTGTTGACGATATTTCAGAGTTTTATCAACAGTACTAGGGAGAAATGTTCACCTGTTTAAATATCCATTTTGTAAATAATAACATGATTGAATGTATGGAAGAAAATGAAATGAAAAAAAATAAAAGAAAAACATTATGGAGAACATATCTCTCTGATGGATGCACAATTATCAGAATGACTTGGATCTGAGTATATTGAGAGATAAAAGGTTATCTTTAAAGTACCAGGAAAGGGACCGATCAGAAGGTGGATCCAAGGTTTACAGATTTCAGGTAGCCACACTAATATCCAGACCTGTAGCAGGATGTGCCCTTGGTAAGCACAAGAGAAAAGCAAACAGGAATCATTCCAAAGAACATAGAGAACCAGAAGCTGGTGATAAAGCAAAAGTAACATTGTACAACAGTGAATCAAGTGACCATGTAAATACCAAAATCATGAGAAACACTTGAAGCAGAGGTCCCCAACACTGAGTCCATGGACTCATACCTGTCTATGGTCTATTAGGAACCAGACAGCACAGTAGGAGTTGAGCAGACTGTGAGCAAGTGAAGTTTCATCTATATTTATAGTCACTTCCCATTACTTGCATTACCCCCTCGAGAGTCACCTCTTGTCGGATTAGCAGTGGCATTAAATCCTCATAGGAGTCCCTAGATAGGACTGTTTTATTGCTGGAAAACCAGATCAGGGCTCCCACTGATTCTGCATTATGGTTAGTGGTATGATTATTTCATTATATATTCTAATGTAATAATAATATAAATAAAATGTCCAATAAATGTCATGCTCTTGAATAATACTGAAACCACATTCCCCTTTTTATTTGGAGGTTTTTGCTACAGGGCGCCTGCAGTTGCCAGACAGACAGAGAGACAGAGAGATAGAAAGCATGAAATCACCCCCCAGGAGGTATGGCCACTCCACAATCCCTCCTCCTCCATTCTCTTCTAGGGATCTTGGGCACGCACACACACACACACCCAGCGTGCATTTAAGCCACCGGGTCCAGGACGCAAACTGCAGTCGACTACATGGGAGTCCAGTGACATAACCATTACGCTAACTGCTGGTCCCAAAATCACATCCCCTTTAACCCTCTAGTCTGTGGAAAGATTGTCTTCCATGAAAACAGTCCCCGGTGCCAAAAAGGTTGGTGACCATTGACCTGAAGGACCAGATTCAATCTTCCACTCCTTGTGAGACTAGAGATGAAGACGACCCAGAAGGGAATACAATATGTGAATTTCTCAGTTTTTAAAATTATCATACATTATTGTTATTCTTTATTAATACTGGCTTACATGTTTATTTTTGGAGGTTGAATTTACCTTTTCTTTTGAAAAATTCTGATGTATTATATGGTACCCTTTGTACAGTCCTCAACACAAAATTTTCCAGAGGAATGTAACATGTTTTTAAATTATTATAAGTAATTTATTATTTTATCAACCTTGTTATGTGCTTTAATATATGTATAGAAATTTTATATAAATTTGCTTTCATTTAAGTTCATAAATGTATAGCTTCACAAATGTATCAGCTTTAATTGTGAATTATATATTTAGATATAATCGGATAAACATAATTTTCTTTTAAGGCAAAATTTTGTTTCATAATTTTGGTAAATATCCTATCTCATAACATTCATGTGATCCTATGTTAATGGCATAAATAGCTAATTTTTAAATTATTTTCCTTTTTAGTAATTATTTTTATTTAACTTTATCTATCCATTTATTTTAATTTGACCAGAGAGAGAGAGAGAGAGAGAGAGAAAGCCACCCGTTCCAGGACTTGAACTGTGGTCGGCCATGTAGGACTCCAGCACTCTTAACCACCAGAGCACCTGCTGGCCCCAATTTTCTAAATACATTATATTCAAGCTCATATCTAAAAAGTTTTAAAAAATTTTAATTCAAGAAAGTATATCACTAGTTCTTTTTTTTTTTTTTTTTCCTTCCTCTTTGCAGAAACTTCTGTGCTTTTTCTCTCAAGGTCATATATCCCTGTATCAGATAGCAACACAGCTTCAGCAATAACAGCAGATGCCATCTTAGATTAATGTAAGTGAATGTATTTTTGCAATTTGTATAGTTTCTCTCCTTTGCACCCATTCTGACAGGGAACAATGTTGGGTTCAATGCTGGATGCCCTAGAGGTGCCCTAGAGTTATTTTAACGGATTCAATTTGCTTTGCTTTTCATGTAAGCACAGTTTTTCTTCTTAGATAGTTCTTTTTTTTTTTGAGATAAGTTTTTTTTTTTTTTAGATATAGGAAAAATTATTTCTTATATAAAATATTTTTAATTTAATTTTCATATAAATCTTCATTATAGAATCATAGAATTTTAAAACTAGAAACTATAAAGATCATCTATTCCATTGTTTCTCAAGACTAATAAAGCAAGAAATCTCTGATTCCTTTCTTTCTATTGCTTTTCTTCATGAATATAGTGATTCTTGCTGCTTTTCCCCTTTTGCTATCCCATATTTAGGTCAACAGAGATTTACATTTTGTTAGTTTCAACTAGTTTACATTTTTATAATATATTGCTAATTAGGAAACACTGAAATTGCCTAACTCTTTATTTAAAGAATATAGAAGTAAAATTATAAAACGGTTTATCTCATTGCCAAAGAACACATACCTATCTGTTTTCAGAGGCAGACCCCCTCGAATGCCCTGATAGTTTCAAAATGTTAGACAGTTTCCTTCTTGAATTCTAATTCAACTTTCTCCCCTGTAATTCATTCTCTTCCCTCTTCATACGTTTCTAAAAACCAGTGGCTTATCTCTTTTTAAAAATTTTTATGTTAATTAATTTTATACATTCAGTCAGGATACATCACTTAGCTTATAAAGTGAATTTACCCTACATGAATACACTTCACGACAGGACGTGGAACCCACCTAAATATTCATAGCCAAATAAGTGGATAGGCTTATCTCTTTTTGCTCGCTATTTTTATATTATGATCATTTCCTTTCTTCTTAATTTCGGTGTATTTCCAATATTCATGTACAGAGTGCCAATGTCAGTATAAAAGCTAAATCAGATTATGTCACACTATGGCTTGAGGTGGTCCTAATTCCAAGTTCTATCCTAGTGTTAATCCTAAGTAATTTGACTACTATCCACCAGACAGTTGTGTCCAGTAGGAAAAATTCAAATCTCTTTTTTCATCTGCAGCACTCTGAATTAAAAGCTTCTGTCTGGCAATTATACACATATAATTTTATTCTATTGTATAATGATCTCATACGGAAAATGTGCATAATAATTATACCTGCTTCAAAGAATATTTAAAGGGGTTGAGTTTTTTTATATAAAATATTTGGAATATTGCCTGACATGTATTGTTTTTACTTTTTCTTTTCTGCTTATTATCATCCTGCAACACTGTCCTTTCATTTATGTGAACGTTGCTTTTTTATCTTCCTGTATTTGTCATCTTCCATTTCAAAAAATTCATGATAGTTCATGTGTATACACATGTTGTGTGTGTTTGTGTGTGTGCAAGAGAGAGATAGAGAAAAATACCCTCCACAGAGTCTCATGCCATGACAACCCTCTCAGAATCTTGTGTACTCATGTGCCCAAACTATTTTTAGGTTGACCATGACTGTCCATGTGACTTTTAGAACTGCAGCCCATTATGCTACAACTTTGTCACATTCCTGATTTATTATTTTTCAGTTTTTATTATAATCCCTAAAGATGAACCTGATTTCTTTTTTTTTTTTTTTTTGGAGAGGTTTTTCACTCCAGGGCATGTGCGCTCACCAGACAGACAGAGAAATACATAGAGACAGAAAGTGAGAAATCACCCCCCAGGGGGGATGGTCACGCCACAATCCCTTCTCCTCCATTCTCTTCTCGGGATCTTGGGCACGTACGCACACGCGCCCGGCATGAGTTTTAAGCCACTGGGTCCGGGATGTGAACCGCAGTCGACTACGTGGGAGTCCAGTGACATAGCCATTATGCTAACTGCTGGTTCCCAAGATGAACCTGATTTCTAAACACACACCATTTTATCTATTTGTTTGCAGTCATGTCAATCTTTTTCTTTTTTATGAATCCAATTTTAGACTTGAGATATCTCGTCCATTTATTTGTAAGACTTTCTGAGAATGTTGAGACTGTTTATGATAATTTACTACTCATCAGAGTCGCTTAAGAATAGCTACTCATAATAGGAATTGAATAGGAATGAAGTAGTAGACTCAAATCTATTGCGGACAAAAATATTTCTTATTCTTCTCATCATTATCATTTTAGATTTTTGCTATAGGATATGTGGCATCTCCAGAGAGAGACAAGGAAAAATAAAGATAATTTTTTTAATCTTTGTTTTTGTTTCTTTCCTTTTCAATATTTTGCCTCAACACACTTCAATTCATCAGATGCTACCCTGTTTATTTCTGAAAAAATGTGTATAGAGGTGAATTATTGTGGGACTATGAAATAATTAAGAATCCAAATGATACAATTTTATTCCATTAGAAGAATATTTGTGTTTGTACCACTTCATGAACAGTTCTTATTTAATATCCAAGTTTCTAGCTTATTTGTTTGCATTGAAGTAAAGAAGTATATTGAGACCAACCATGTTTGGACCCTGCAATTGAGTCTAAACTGAGGACTTTAGACTATTATATTTACACACACACAATCGTACTTACATACACACATATAAGCAAATAATGGTGACCTAACACTGCTACCTAAAAACATATCAGTGATATGTACATTCCATGAGTTCAGTAAACATATTGATTGAATAATAGTGTGACTAAAAGTTACCTAAATAGCAAAATAGATCCAGCTCATGTTGATATTTTAATATTTTAAAGAAATATATTTTTCTTATTTAATCATTGTCTAAAATTTAAAATATAATTGTTAATGTTTTCTAAATTGTGACTATGCAAATTTTAATTTTAGAGTACTGTGCACTTCATAATATAAACTATGCATTTTAAATTTACAAGTGCAGTTTTATATTTATATACAACTATGAGTTTATTTGTGTGTTAAAATATTAAATATAAGAGCAAAATGACAATTATATTCCTTTATTAATGTATTATTTAAGAAATTGTAATTTTATCCACACACTGGAGACCTTGATATTCTTCTCTGATATGTTAATTCTTCAGTTTGTTTAGTTTATTCCCATATCCTGCAAAGCACTCACACAGGTAAGTTAGTGATTATTACATACTATTAAATATAACAGTATTTTTAATTATTGCTCATTATGTTCTGGATTTGGTACGTTCACATTTTCTGATTTCACTCTTGCCTGCCATTGTTTGTTAAACATACGGTGTTTGTAATTTTCTATTCTACAAGCATAATTTTGCTCTTCTGTGTATAAATTTTGTAAAAGTAATTTAATCTCTGAATGTAGGCAATAATGATGAAGTTTTAAAGATTTATCAGAAGCATCTTTTTGAAAGTATGAGTGATTCTTTAGTTTAGACTTAAATTATAGAATGCAAAGACATTGATTCAATCACAACTATGCACATCATTAAAGAATTCTAATCGCATCTGTAGATGAAGCATTATACCATTGTATACCAGTTTGCATCATATTTATTATGATTATGATTATTGATATTGTTATTACTATTTAAATAGTCTCATCCATCTTAGATTGTCTTTTTCTTTAAATTGGTAATGAAAGTAAATTATGATATATTGAAATAAACATGACTTTTCTCTTTTAATTCCATAGTTTCTTAAAGAACACACTCCACTCTTTGATATAAAAATTGCTCTCATGCTATTTCAAGAGTTGCTTAATTAAATTTTAACTGGTTATTCTCATTCTTTATTCTAAGCCTTTTTTCATTTTAAAATTTATTACCTTTTAAAATAATATTATTTCATTTTATCAGTAATTATTATTATTATCCTTTTTAAATTGCTATAGAGCATGTGCATTTACCAGTGAAAGGTGTGGGGAATAGAGAGACAGAGAGAGAGAGAGAGCCACCAAGTATGGGATTTGAACCATAGTCATCATGCGGGAGTCCAGCATTTTAATGAGGATTCCAATCTGGTGGTCCCGATTTATTATTATTTTTTAATTTGCTGCAGGGCGTTCGGGCTCCATGGAAAGAGAAGGAAAGTAAGAAAGTACCCTTCCCCAACCCAAAGAGAATACAGTCCCTTCTCCCTTATCCTCTCAAAATTTGGGGCATGCATGCACACAAGCCAGATGTGCTTTTCAAGACATGGATCTAGGACTTGAGTCATGCAGTCAGCCATGTATGATCAAGCTGAATAAAACATCATGCTACTTGGCTGGCTCTCTAACCCTACCTTTTTAGCACCAGTTTTACCAAAAATACCCAACTCAAAAAGAACTGAATTCATCTGAAAAGTGTAAGTAATTGTTAAGCAAAATGCTACACCAGGACACATGCAAACAAACGTAATTTTTCACTGCCTAAAAAATATTTTTCTTGACTTCTCTTTTTTTCATTTATTCATTCATTTTCCATTTGTTTACTTGCTGTTCATTTGTTTCTGAGCCTTACGCTATTATTTATTAGAATAGGACTCTTTAAGATGTTAAATATAACATGTCCTCTTAAAACAGACGAGACCTGGAGATAGGACGGTATATGAAGCTCTTATACACAGCATATGAAAACATACAACCATGAATCTGTCCATGGTCTAAAATAAAAGCAGAATTGCATATTAGAGAGATCCCTGACTTGGATTTTAGAGTTCAAAATTTAGATTTGGAGTTTGTGCTAGGTAGTTAGCTTTTTGCTCATGGAATTTCAATTCTTCAGTGAAGAAAGAGAAAAAATCTTTTTCATATTTTCCATTTTCCACTGTACAACACAGATGATAGAGATAATATGTTCAACTAAGTTATTATGTGGGGAAACTCAATATAACTGCTGTTAAGCCCCTATTAGATGACCGTCACATAGTAGTCAATATTATAGCTCTATTTTTTTACCTCTATTATTTCTATCAATGAATGGCACTAAGGATTAATTTACATAATAATGATGATTATGATAAAGACA